AGGCTGGAGCAGCTGGCAGGGGAGGAGCTGCTCCAGCCCTTACTGTTAACCGGAACTGGTAAGCTTTAGGGTGATGCTTACTGGTTAGCCAGTTAACCTTCGCCATCCTGAGTGAATGGTACTTATTTGTAGTTCCGGTCATCACTGCGATAAAGCGATAGTAAAGGACAAATAATTCATTTAAAATAGTAGGAGAATTCCCACACCGCTCCTTTGCTCTGTGTTTTTCCGTTAAAAGCATTTGCAGAAAAGAGCGTCTAGATTGGCACGGATGCTTTTGTGCAAAGCACTTTTGGCGGAAAAGCGTCCGTGCCAATCTAGACGCAGTTTTGCGCAAGAAAGCCCCGATCGCCATTTTCGTCATCAGGGCTTTTTTGCGCAAACCAGTTTTCAGCTGTCTACACTGGCCCTCTTGCGCAAAAACATTTCCAGAAAAGGGCTTTTGCCCGAACAGGAACGTCAAAGCATTTGCGCAAGAAGCACTGATTTCGGACAGTAGAACGTCAGTGCTTTTGTTCAAAATCAAGCAGCCAGTGTAGACAGATGGCAAGTTTTTGCGCAAAAGCAAGTGTTTTTGCGGGAAAACTTGCCAGTCTAGATGCAGCCCAGGGGTTCTCTTGCTTGACAGACTAGAACAACTCTCATAAAGGGCTGCCCATGCGAAATCAATCCTAGGCGAAGGGTGCTAATCAGCTGTAACAAAAAAGGCCTCTCACTGAAAGATGAACAGAATTTAGCAGCGTCATGTTGGCTTCTGCAGGCTGCAGCTTTCCTCCCTCGCTCTGCAGATCAGAGTTTGGGATTCATACAGCCCTGACATGCTTCTCCCAATCTCCAGAAGGAAGCATTGTCCATGCTTTATGCCATTCTCCGCTCAGCGTAGGGCAGCTCTTTACGCAAAAACATGTGTCAGGATCTAGTTGAATTCACATAGCTGAATTCAGAGATTAAGAACCATTGCTTGACTTCACGGGAACTATGCATCGATGCTATAAGCGTGTAGGGTAACGAGTGGCTAAATAAGCACAAACTGCGGCAAAGGACAGTCTTCTCAACTGCTGATACGGCCTTCACCTGCCCTTTCTTGCTTCATTGTCTTGTGAAAACGTCTTGTGGAAAGAAGACCGTCAGCGGGTCCCTTATCCTGCCTTCTTAATACGGGACCCAGGTCCATCCCTGGGGAAGACTGCATTGGCTGCCCAGCTCCTCCCAGGGTGGGCAGGGTGCAAACCAAATGCTCTATCCCCTAAACCATGCTGGCTAGTTTCTTTGATGATACGCTAAGTGTTCAGGGACTATGTACTTTGTTCTTATACCACCTAGCCCAGTGGAGCTTCTGAGCACTATCACGATGTAAATATTAATTAGTCTTTGTTATAACTCTATATTCACAATTACAAAGCTACGTCTCATAGCTGTGAGGATAAGGTACCTTTTCTCTTGCCACGGAGAAAAGAAATTTAGGAAGTCAGTCCATTCACCTTGCAAGACAAAATACGTGGCACAGTTTAGCATAGATTCAGGAAATTGGCTTGACAGCTTCTAAGAAGAGTCCAATTACTGACAAAAGAGGGCTTCTTAAATATCATTAATGAGCTGAGGAGAAATAGGTGGGACAAGTGGCAGATTGTCATATCTGATCACTGAAGGACGCTATCTTAAAAACCATAATCTTTGGCTTCTCTGACTCTTTTAAACAACCTCTATCTCAGGTGATGTGCATAGAAACCAGGTGCACTAAGGCTTCACTGGGTCTGAGCAGATGTCAACACTGGTCATCTAGAAAGACAAAAGTCTCAGAGAGGCAAGGTGGGCGAGGGAATCTCTTTGATTGGCCCAGCTTCAGGTGGTGAGAGAGACAAGCTCCTGAGCCACACAGAACTCTTTGTCAGGGTTCGGAAAGGTACTCTGAGTGTCACAGCTAATGCCAGGTGGAACATCCATTTAGCTGTGAGGCTGGGAGAGTCTTTTCTAGTCCCAAACAGGGGTGGACCGTGACCCTAGGCAGACTAGGCAGTTGCCTAGGGTGCTGCCAGGCTGGGTGCCCGATGATGATGTCACGGGGCACCCTGAGTGCCCCGTGATTACGTCATGGCCACTGACAGCCGTGCAGGTGGGGGCGCTGATCGCGCCTTCCACCTGGGGCACCAGCTGCTACAGCCGGCCTTAGGCCGCTCCTGGTCTTAAAGAGCTTTGTGTGGCTTGGAAGCTTGTTTCTCTCACCAACAGAAGCTTCACCTACCTTGTCTCGCTAATAGCCTGTGACTACCTACAAGTCTATCCTTGGACAGATAACATGTCAATTTTCTCTTCTAGAAAAATATGGAGTTATCCCCAAGAAAAATTTCCCTGAATCTTTCAACACAGAGGCCTCTGGGAAGATGAATGAAATTTTGAATCATAAGGTAAATGATCTGAAATTGTGCTAAAACACAGTGGTTAGAGAGATGAAAGAGAAATTATAATCTACAGATGTTCCTGAGTGGCTACCTTAAATGTTCCCTATTGATCAGAGTATTAAGAGCCCGTCTGGCTTCTTCCTTGCATCCATATGACATTGCATTTGAAAGGATTAAAAGGTGAAGGGGAACAGTCCTAAAATGCTGGGAAGAGGAGAGGAAGTAGGTTCGTGAATAGCTGCTACTGTATTTAGAGGGTTTGATGTTCTTGCTTTCAAACAGGAGCTTGAAAATATCCCTTGCAGCACTTTTTACAATGGTCTTTAGATCTCTAACTCCTACAGAAAAAATTCTGCCTTCCTGGCTGGCAGAAGATCTTTCTGCAAAATTCATGCAGCCACAGAGAGCTTGTTTTCTCCTACTGTGTTCTCAAAGATGCTAAGGCTCTAATGATGCCTGTTGCCAAGTGTGGTGGCTAAGATTTACACATGCAGAATTTAAAAATACAGAACTAGGGATAGGACCAAAACCAGCTTGCATAGGAAAGGCTGCAGGGCCATGTGAAATACTGAAATGACTGTGACAAAGGAAGGTTTGGGATAAAGCAGGTTTAGGCACGTCAGACGGGGGATCTGAATCCATGGTGGTAACAAATGAAATGGCAGACAAAGCTTTTCACTAAAAGCTTTGTTTTGGCAATTCATGAGTCCATGATCAAGGGACAGCTGTTCCTGGGAATCTGCACAGATGAGTTGGTAAATAAAAGGTGCATGCTGAAATTAAGTCAGAGGTTCAATGCTGTTACTTAGGGCCTGACATCTCCCAGTCTTCACCTTGATTCTGGCACATCAACTGGCCCGTTCGGTGCTACCTTGACTGCGCGACAATACCTGAGTTTGCAGATAATAGTTGTAAGCAGAGTTACAAAATATATAAGTGCCTGCAAGCCTCAGAAATGGTGTTGCAACATTTGGACATCACTATGTGACATAACACTGAGATATTGAGAAGAATCCAGTTCTAGGAGAAGCCTGCCAGTAATGAAGTCCAGACTGCTGCCTGGAAAAGACTGAGACAGTTTTTGATTATTTTTCAATACATTTTGGTGATCCTTCAAAAAAAGTAAAAGCTTGGTTTACAATGGTCTAAAATATAATATAAAGGACACATTTTTAATAGAAATACCAATATTGTTTTTCCGTAAATAAACCTTTTGTGATGGATGCCTGACAGAGAGCCATAAAGCAAGTCCTGACTTCCTAACTCGTGCAGGCTTTGCAAATAGATACTGTTTATGCTCCTGTTGCAGTGATAACATGGCCTTTTCTTTTGAAACAGATGCGGGAGTACTGTATGCGACTAAGAAACATGGTAGCAAATGGGTCAACTGAGGAAGAACTCGAAGAAGCAAAGGACGCTATGATAGAGGAGGTAAAATATATAACACCTAATTCATTCCATGCCAGAAGCAAGCCACTACAGATGAAGTTATTCTTGCCTTCTCTTGTTCTAATGCTAGCTATAAAGTGCAAAACAAATTCTTTCTATTGTACACGACTCTAGTGACACAGATGGCCATGTACTCTCTAAAGTGTTACTATGTGATTGTTTTAGGAATGTTTTCCTATATACACTCTTCTCTGCATGTGGGGGATACCACTGCACTTAAACCCTGGTGGAGCTAGGGCACTTTACACCAGCTGAGAATTCACCCCACCAGGTGTTGTTAACAGATAAAAACCCCAGCATCTGCATTCTCAGTGGAGACCAAAATAATGCATATAGCCTGTTCTCACTAAAAGGGACTAGAGGACTTGGCTATACCCACTGTAAACTTAGAAATTGCTATGTTGGAAGAATCTCCTTTTCTTCCCCTCTCTTCAGCACGCTTTCAAAAGCTTCCTGGGAAATTACTCATTTCTCTTCCTTGTACAATCTATAGCCCAGAGGTCCTTCTCTCCGGTATTATTACTGCAATTCATAGCTTTACTATCCCCAGTTCAAAGGTTAAAGTAAGAAATGTGACGTGATAGCAAAACTGGCACTAAGTTCTTTTTGTTTTGTATCTGAAAACAAAACCTTTATATATTTTCAAACGTGTCATGCTCTGGGTCAAATGACCTCGTATCTTATTGATTCTACCCTTCCTTAGGCTGCAGATTACCTTTTTGCATTTTAATATCCATTAACGTGATTTCTGTTTTTAGGCTTTGCATTCACACATCGACTGGAAGAGTTAATTGCAGAATTAACCTGAAGCCTCCTAGAATGGCTTGATTAATTGAGATAAGGCAAAGACATGATGAGTTCCCTGCAGATTTACATTTTTCATTTGCTTTGTTTAGAATCTCCAAGTTTCTAGCATTAGAAACTGGAAATCCAGTTCATTAATGGCTCACAAATGTCTGTCTGCATCTGGAAACAGTTGTGGTGTGTGTGTTCTTTAATCTACCCCCACTCGGTTATTTTCTATTCCAGTACAGTTTCAAAAGATGGGGGGCAGGGAGAGCCAGAAAGTCTATTAGAAATGGGGTTCAGCTTCTTGCAATGCAGCTAACCCTTGAATGCAGCTTGAGGAAGCTAGCCATGCAAGAGGGAAATGTGGTGCTCCCAGAAAACTACCTAAAAACAGCCATGCCCTATATAAAGTAGAGAACCTGTATAATAGGATAAGAGAGGATCCCCTCGTCTCTTAAACAGAAGTTGATTTAAATGGACATAGTCCTCTTGAAATCAAGCCTAATATCCTTCATCTAATACATTGTTAAATGTATTAAAAGAGACAAGAAGATTCTGCCATTTCCAAAGAAAGCAGAAATCCTCTTAATCTCATAGAAGGAAAAGTGATTAATGGAAGTGTATCATTAGAATGAAAATGTTTCTGTGGATGTATGCTAGAAGACATGCATAATCGGAGCCCTTTCCCATACAATAATTGTATGTGCTGTGGAGAAGAGGGTTTTTCTGGAATAAGGCAGCCAGCTGGCTACTTTTTCAGTCTCAAAAGACAGAGTCCCGATTGTGGTCTTTGACTGGAACTGCTTTTATGTTCTGATGCATAGTCTAAATACAGCGTCTACCTGGGGATAGTTTGATTGCACCTCAATGGAGTTGCCAAAGTTAAGGATTGGACAATGTTTCAGCTAGGTCATATATGTTTTTATTGTATTTCACTGCTACCACTCTCAGAATACGTCTAGAATACAAGCCTCTTTGGAAAGAGAGCATCTAGACTGCAACCACTTCTTTCGAAAAAGCGAGCCGTTTTTTCGAAAAAGAGCACCCAGGCAGTCTGAATGCTCTCTTTCGAAAAAGCCCTGTTTGTATTCAAGAACGCCTTTTTTCGAAAGACCACTTTTGAAAAAAGGTGTTCTTCCTCGTAAAATGTGTTTTACCGTGGTCGAAAAAACCGCCGCATTCTTTCAATTTAATTTTGAAAAAAACACAGCAGCAGTCTAGATGCAGGGGAAGTTTTTTTTTAAAAAAAAGGCCACTTTTTTCAAAACAACCCTGTAGTCCAGATACACACTCCTAGGACTTGGAACTGATTCTACTAGTGCCCCACCTTGAGGTTCTTAGCAAAACTACAGAAAGCTTGAGCAGGACACTGTGGTGTTTTTAGCATGGTGAGGAAGCTCTGAATTTTGTGGCCTTTAATTTGACATTAGGAATTCCAGAGTGAGGGATCTTAGTACCAGATGGGGAGAACTGAGTAACACATTGTTATTCAGATAGTTAAACATTAAGGCTACGTCTACACTGGCCCCTTTTCCGGAAGGGGCATGGTAATTTTTGAGATCGTAATAGGGAAATCCGCGGGGGATTTAAATATCCCCAGCGGCATTTAAATAAAAATGTCTGCCGCTTTTTTCCGGCTTTTAGAAAAGCCGGAAAAGAGCGTCTACACTGACCCCGATCCTCCGGAAAAAGCGCCCTTTTCCGGAGGATCTTATTCCTACTTCAAAGTAGGTTTTATTTAAATGCCGCAGGGGATATTTAAATCCCCTGCGGATTTCCCTATTACGATCTCAAAAATTACCATGCCCCTTCCGGAAAAGGGGCCAGTGTAGACGAGCCCTAAGGGCACATTTACGTTACATGGGAATATCAAGGCTGCCGTGGTCAATCTTCTGGGGTTTGATTTGGAGGGTGTTGTATAGAACGGTTAATTCAAACTCAAAGGATGCCCCCATTGGTGACAGTACTCCTGCTCCTCGCAAGGAGTAAGGGTTGCCAACAGGAGCATTTTCTCCCTTTGACCTCCTGCTGTGTGGACAGGGATTTAAGATATGTCCACCTCACCTATGTATCTTACTTTGATCTTCTCGTATAGTGTAAGATCAGGCCCACGAGCCTACTTCTGCAGTTGGCACCACATGAAGGTATCCATTGACTAATGACATTTCTGTGGCTGGCCCAACTGCAGAATTTTGGTGCTTAATCGATAGCCCGAGAGAGAAAGCGTGGGTGAGTTTTCATGCCCCTTTGGCTTTCTGTGCAGATATTCAGAATAGTGAGCATCTCCATGGGGAGCCCCCCCGAGACCTTCTCCTGGGAGTTCCGAGATAAGGAGAAGAACTACCACAAGATCGGCCCCGTGACCCCACTGCAGTTCTACCAAGAGCACATCAAGCCGCTCTTCAACATGGAAGACAAGGTTGGGGAACACAATAAATACCTTGTTGCTGAAGCAGCGGTGGTTTGTTTCTACCGCTTGTTATGGGGGCGGGGTGTGTGAGGAATAATTGTGCTTTAATGCTAATTTAAGAGCTCCTGCGTGGCTTAGCCACCGGCGCCTTGATAATAAAATGTTAATAATTAGACTAGAATGCACTTCCCGTGCAGTATTTGAGGACACGTGCACCAGCTTATAATGGGGTCTTCTATTGCATTTAATAAACTTTTGGGCTGGGTCTAGACTGGCAAGATTTTGTGCAAATACTTTTAACGGAAAAGTTTTTCCGTTAAAAGTATTTGTGCAAGAGAGCGTCTATACTGGCATGTGCCTTTGCACAAAAGATTTGCAAGAGAGTGTAGACGCTCTCTTGCACAAATACTTTTAACGGAAAAGTTTTTCCGTTAAAAGTATTTGTGCAAGAGAGCGTCTACACTCTCTTGCAAATCTTTTGTGCAAAGGCACATGCCAGTATAGACGCTCTCTTGCACAAATACTCGCGGCCAGTATTTTGCGCAAAATCATGCCCGTCTAGACACAGCTTTGATGTTCCAGAGGAAGCAGTCCTTAGTTGCCTGAGATGGTCAGCCAGCTAGAACAGAGGAATCAATCTGATTTACCACAAGTTCCTAATTTCTTTGAGGCTTCAATGGCTTTGTGATTTAAGTAGTAACATCTTATTGGTGGCAGATTTGTCTAGTGAATGATCCTCGACCCCAGAACCCGTACAACAAGCTCTACACTGTAGAGTACCTGGGCAACATGGTGGGAGGGAGAAAAACGCTCTACAACAACCAGCCTGTCGACCTGTTGAAGAAGATGGCTGCAGCTTCCATTAAAGATGGCGAGGTTTGTGTTTTCTCTCTCTCAGTGACACAACATTTTGTCTTTTGTAATGTAATAGGCTACACCTTGGGATATGGCCCAGGCGTAACTCCTCTCTCCTATTTTTAGGCTGTGTGGTTTGGCTGTGATGTTGGAAAACACTTCCACAGCAGGCTGGGCATCCTTGATATGCAAGCGTAAGTTTAGGAAATTAAAACAATTGTTTTCTGAGCTCTGTTCCTGGCAATGGAGTACACACTGAAAATGTTAAGGCGGTAAAAGGTGTTCAAAACTGTTCTAATTTTGTTTTTACCCAAAATGAGTAAGACAAATGTCTGTTTAGACCTGTACTCCTTTTGTTAAATACCCTTCCTTTTTGGCTTTTACCTGAAATGCTGATACTGTGAAAACATACTCCGTTCCTAATTCACTGATGTGAAACTTTAATGTAAAATATTCGTAGCTGAAGAAAGAGGAACTTAACTGCAGTATGTTCTTTCTGTGCTTCCTGCAAAGCAAACAGGAAGGGGATATAGAATCTGTCTGAATGTGGGTTATTCCATAGCCTACTCTTGGAGTTTGCGCAGTTCCTTGAATTCCCTAGTTCTTAGAGAACGGCATTCCAAAAAGGGTCCCTTCACATTGATTCTAACTCAAAATTTGAAAAGGAGTGAAGCATCTGTCAGAGCAGTATAACATTGGATAATACATTCCTCTGATCCCACTTCCTCTTCTTCTGCGTTCACCTCCGTTGCATGGCTTACTTGTAGGTTTGACCATGAGCTGGTGTTCGGTGTCTCTGTCAAGCAGATGAACAAAGCAGAACGATTAATCTTTGGGGAATCATTGATGACCCATGCCATGGTCCTCACTGCCTTCTCGGAGAAGGTAAGATCTCCTCCACAAGCACTGCATCTATTTGCACAGATGTATTTGAACTCTCCCGCAGTTTGTTTATATGCTTCTTGGTCACTCAGAATGTACATGTTCCGCCCAAGGGCAGCATATGTATAAAACAACAACCTGTGCATGATGCCTATTCATATGCTATTCACCTGTATCACTTATTTGGAGAAACTAAAAAACAGAACCTTACCAACAAGGGAGGAATCCTAGATAACAAGATAACATTTTGTTTTCTATGCCCAGAAACTCTTTGAGAAGCACAAAAAACCCAAAAACCCTTGACTCGTATTTTCTGGGAAATTAAAAGACATCGTTGCTGACTTCAAAAGTATGGAAATTCTGATTTATCTCGCTAACCAGGGAATCAAAGGTGATAGCACATCACTGGAGATATTTAAGAGCAGGTTAAATAGATACCTGTCAGGGATGATCTAGACAGTGCTTGGTCCTACTGTGAGAGCAGGCGACTGGACTCGATGACCTCTCAAGGTTAGTTTCAGTTCTACGATCCCCTTCCATAGCACACTGGTTAATCTAGTCTAGATGTGGCACCAAGCATTGTACTACTTAAAATGTACTTGAACAACCTGCAGGAGGCACTCAACCTCAAAATTTGTAGCATGACTTCTGTGACACATCCACTAATGAGAGAGAAGAATCTAAACCCCAAACAGCAGTAGTTCTTAGCACCACTAGAGTGCAGTACAGCTGTCGGCAATGTAATTAACGTCATTTGAGAGAACTATGTAAAACCCAGTATCTTTGGATACCTGGAAGTCACAAATCAGCTTTAATTTGTGTTTTCTGAAAAAAATCTAGGAGACCTCTCCCTACCATAGAACACACAGTGAATTTTTAAGGTTCCTTTTAAAAAATAACCTCTTCCAAACAAAGATTACTTGGTCTGAGAAGTGCTTACATATTACTGAAAACTTCCCCGGGGAGTCAGTACTTTGTGCAAGAGCATGAAATGGGATTGTTCAGAGTCGGTTTTTTTCTCAGAACTACTCCTCAACTTTATCCACACTGGTCTGCACACACACTTTTCAGAACTAATTGTGTGTGACAATTAGGATTAAAGACTATTCTGATCAGTGTCAAGTTTGGATATTTGTGTATAGGGCTGTTAGGGACTAGTCGACTCCCCTCCTCGCCCAGATAGAGGCAGCAAAGGGGGGAGAAAATGGGGTACTTCAAAGCAGCAGCCCCACACAGCTGAGCCCGGGATCAGATGTGTGGCACTGCTGCTATGAAACGCTGAGGTGGTGTTCAAAGTGGCAGTACCACACAGCCAATCTCGGGCTCAGCTGTGCCACCTTGGCGTTTCAAAGGGGCAGCACCACACAGCTGTGCCCAGAATCTGCTGTGCAGGGCTGCCCCTTTGTAATGCTGAGGGAGTTCAGCTGTGCAGCGCTACCGCGCATGCAGCCTGGGGTCAGCTGGGGACTCCCCAGCTGACCCTGGCTCCACGTGGCATTTCAAAGCAGCAGCGCAGCATGGAGCCCAGAGTCAGCGGCAGACTCAGAGTCCCCTGCTGATCCCGGGCTCCATGCTGCGCTGCTGCTTTGACAGGCACAAGCGTTCTTGTACATTTCCAAGGAGGAATGCGGAAGTGCCTATTAACTAGTTGAGTAGACGACGGAAATTCCATCAACTACTCAACTAGCCAATTAACCGTTACTTAACATCCTTAATAGTAACCTTATTACTAATATGCTTTATTGGAGATCACAGTCCCCAATCTATATTTATTAATTTTTTAGTCTCATGTGCACACAGAAGCCTATGTGTAATCACGTACGGAAAGGTAACGTAACTTGCGCTGTAATCTGGTTTCTTTTCACACTGAAAACTATTTTTGGAACAGTAACCCTTATACAAGTCCAAATTCCTTCCTGGCATTTTTCTTTCTTGGTGTTGATATGCGATGAGAGATTTTAGGCTGGAACAGAACACAGTCTTGTCTACACTCGAGCACAGCTCTTTGTCATTGAACCAGTTGAAGCTCAAACAGTCGAGGGTATCCATATTTGATTCATGGTTCATGTTTGCCCCTTGTTCTCTCAAGCAATGTTCTAAACTGTTTCAGTTGCAAGGACTCCTAGTTGCCTATCATTTAGTTCCAGAATTCACTGTTTCTGAGCAGAACCAGGGCGATTTCATGAGGCCGCCAGTGCACAGTGGGGCACTAGGAGGTCGAGCAGAACTATTTCAGCTAGTGTGGACTCAATCATATTCAGTCTGAATTGATTAAACTTTAACTGACCATTAAACTTGTCGAAAGCCACTATGGAATCAGACTGAGACCATTCAGCAAGACCTCCTAGTGACCCACCTGGGACTGCTCCTGTATGGTGATGATCTACAGCCTTCTGGGGGGAACTTACCTGGTTTCAGTTTTGAAAGTAGATCAGGCAACAGTGCCAAACGAAGACTGAAGAAAATCTAATTCTGGGAGAAAAACCGGATAAAATAGCAAATAGTCATCCAACTGGAAGAGAACATCTCCAGGGAGACCAAAGCTGGCTAATGTGGTGTGTGAGGGGGAAGCCTCCATTGACAGTCTGAAAGTTAGAAGTGGGGTTATCAGGGTGGAAAAAGCCCAATGAGCAGCACCCACAGCTTCCAGGTGAGTCACTACCTTGACTCTCAGAGGGGTCGCCGTGTTAGTCTGAATCTGCAAAAGCGGCGAGGAGTCCTGTGGCACCTTATAGACTAACCGAGTGTTTGGAGCATAAGCTTTCGTGGGCAAAGACCCACTTCGTCGCTTTGACATGCATCTGACGAAGTGGGTCTTTGCCCACGAAAGCTTATGCTCCAAACACTTCGGTTAGTCTATAAGGTGCCACAGGACTCCTCGCCGCTTTTACCTTGACTCTAATCATCAACAACAGCCTAGCGAGGCTGTGAATGCAAAAAGGAAGAGTATTTCATCAGAATAAGTTCCTCTCCCATTGACAGACAATTCCTGTTATGGGAAAGGGAAGTGTCATATGGCTTAGGGCAAGGCACAAATGTTAAACTCACACAAGTTAGACACTTTGTGTCTTTTCTAAGAAATTAAATGGCTTGAGCTTTTTCAGTGAACAAGTAAATTTGTCTTGAGTCACTTTTTTGGCTGAGGTTTTTTATTTTAAAATACAGGAAAACCATTTAGTAGTTTTGATCTGCCTTGATTGGATTAAACCATGTATTTGTTTATTGCTAATTGTAAAAAAATGACTCTTTAAGCTCATCCCTTCTTTTTAGCTAGTGAGGAACATTCACAACCTCCAACAGGACAGAATAATGCCTTTGGGGAACTTGAGTATCTTCCATGGGATATGTTAGTTTGTGGACACTGGTCCTAATTAGGAAAGGACCCAAATAGACTATATTCTGTAGGGGAAATGTAAAATGCAAGCTATCCAAGAAACTGCAAGCATCTTTCCAATAAGATTACCAAGGATGATCATAAGGAGCAGGAGCGGCCCGAGGCTGGATGCAGCAGCTGGTGCCCCAGGCGGAACACGTGATCGGCGCCCCCACCTGCACGGCCGTCAATGGCGTGACATCATCATCGGGTGCCCCGTTGAAGGCGGTGCCCTAGGTGATGGCCGAGTCGGCCTATACTCACGGGCCGCCCCTGATAGGGAGAGAGAAACAGCTCTCTCAAATCTTACCAAAACTTCTAAAAGTAGTTCTAAATACTTCATATATTAGTCTTACAGCAGTTAGTGCTTCTGCATCTAAAATCATCAGCAATAGAATTGCAAAACTTTATTTTTTCTGAGCATCTGCCTAGCAATTCACTTGGCATGAGCATTAAACGTATCTGTGCGTCAGATCTGTGGTTCTGTTGCCAATAATTTTAGAAGTGGAAGCACTGTCAGAAACTTGGAGGCATTTCTCCACTGAATACATGTTTTACTTTGTTCTTTCTTCCAGGATGGGCAAGAAGAATCATTTGAGAAATGGAGGGTGGAGAATTCCTGGGGTGCAGACGCTGGTAATAAAGGTAATAGATCACAGCAGTCACGTGAATACACTGTTGAACTCCGTATCTGGAGATGAGGAACTGGAAGGGGAAAGGACATTGTGTTGGCAGGCATTCCATAGATGTCAGCTCAGGTAAACAACACGCAACAAGTGTGCACAAGGCAAGATGCTACACCTAATACTCAACTCATATGAAGAGAAGTCAAAATTCATGTCCCACAGAGTTAATAGCAGAACGTAGGTTTCCTCCGCCTCCAGTGCTCCATGGTCCCCTGGGGGTTTGCAAACTGTGTCTAAAATTTTCAAAGGGGGCAACTCCTTTTGAATTTTTCAGGGTCTCCAAATGAAGAAAAGATTTTGAAGAGATAAAAGATTTTAGAAGCAGAATTCTGAACTTGGATTCCTGTCTGGTCAAATATTGCCTCATGAAGATGGCAACAAATGTCCATCTTCATCTCCCATAATAGGAATTAGGTACAGCGGGATACTCAGGCAGGCAGGCTGCCAGCATGCTATGGTAGCCCCATGCTGCCCAAAGCTGCCGGCTAGCGTGTCTCTGGGTGCTCCTTGAAAAGGGAGGGGGCAGCATGTTTCCAAGCACTGCCCCACAGCTACAACAGACAACGGGAGTTGTGAGGATGGTGCTGGGGGTCAATGCACAGACACCCACCGCCTCCTACTCCCAAAGGGCATGCCCATACTGTGCCCACCTCTCTTCTAAAGAGATGCTTTAGACTGAGGAACTCTAGCTTGACTGACTTGACTGTGCTCATTGTGTGTGTGTCCTGGCCAAGCCGTACCATGTAACCTAACTCTGAACCCAGCATCTCCAATCAGAGGTGTTAAAAACCACATAGGAGATCCCCAAAGGTGAACGCTGAATGAATGGTCATTCAATCCTGTTAGCCCATCTGTTCGACAGGGGTAGGACTGTCTACTTCAGCACAAAGAAAAGCCTTTCTTGCTGAACAGCTGCAGATAGCAGCCATGTCAACAGCTGTTACATTTGCCATCTTGTTGGGCTCTCTCTCTTATTCCTAGCATCTCTACTACAGCTTAATTCTCTATCGTAGAGACTTACCTTTGTGTCTGAGCACTTAGGTTTACCCTCACACTCCCATGAGAGATGGCAGTGCTGGTAGCCCATTCTACAGATGGGGACTAGAGTCACTGGCAGACTAAGGGACTTACCCACTGTCACACAGGAAGTCTGGCAGAATGGGGACTTTAGACAAGGACTGCGGAGAGCCAGGCCAGTGCCCGAACCACTGGACCAGACTTCCTTGTCTGGCTCTTCCTAATGAAATGCTCCCGCCATTAGGCTTTTCTAGGGAGAAGAAAGGAGAAACACGGTGCAGCTTTGTACTAGCAGAGTACCGGAGAACTAAATCTTATACAGGACTTTTTGGGCAGTCACTTAGTAGGCCCTGCTGAGCCTTTTGTCAGAACAGGCAGCGGCGATGCCAGAGTCTCTGTTCTCTCTAACAGACGTGGCTGGAGTAGAAATACTAGACCGGGCCTACCTGGGGCTGCACTGCTGCCTTCTGCCCCGAAATACAATCACAACTCACTGCCCTCTGTTTATCCCTTGTAGCTGGAATGCAGAGCCAGGGTTGTGGCTTGGACATGTACTCTTGGTGGCTCTACTGTACTCTTGAGGCAAGGGAATAATTCCCACGACAGATGATGGCTTTCCCTGTAACTCTGGCTACACGCCGTCTCAAGGGACAGTGACCAGCCCTGTTCGATGGAGCTAAAGTTTTACTTGGCGCTTTGTTGTTCAGACGTTGGCACCCCACACAGTCCACTCCAGCATGCAGAACGGCAACAGACACGGAGGCAGGGCGTTCATTATCCTGCAAGGTGCAATTACTAGCTGGTGGTCAAGAATGAGAGTTTTTTTTGTGACCCCAGAACTTATATCCTGGAGAAAGAAAAATCAAGTCACCTTCCCTGGGCAGTACATCCAAACCAGCTTCTAGCTCGCATTACAACTCAATTCCCTGGAATAGAGGCGTGTAATGCCTTAAATATTTTATCTATAGGATTTTTTTCTTTATACAGGTAAAAGGCTCTTACATGCAGATTCCCAGCCAGAGCCTTAGAGAAGGAAGGGTATAACACAAATGGTTGTTTTTCCTAAAGATTTGTGTCAGCCACAGAGTGTCTCAGGGGCTTTGTGCCCGAGGGAATAAATTAGCATCAACTATGGACACACGCATTCTCTCCATCTCCTGAAATGGAATTCTGAACAAGGACACCCAGATAACTGGAGTGGTTAACAAGCATGGATTGCAGGAATGTATTTAAAATATTGTAGTTCAGCTAAATATGAATGAATAGTCTTGATGTCCATTAGAACAGCAACATGGGACAGAGCGATTAAAAGGAGCTTCCCCTATTCAGAGGGTCTGCCTTTTGCAGAAGGATGACCTATGCTCTATTTGTTGTCAAGTTAGAAATCCCTTTGTTCTGCCTCAGCGGCCATGTGTACTGAACAAAATAATCTTCCTTGCATAAAAGGGACCTGTATTTGCAAAACTGTTCTCAGGATTTTGGGTCCGAGATACTCCTCTTTAGGCTTGTTAATCCAAGTCTGTCGTAGCTAAAATCTATTTATTCAATAACTAAAGGAACAGGAAATTGAAGTATTCGAGACTTTGCCACAAACGTTGCTGTAGAAATAGGATTATTCTGTGTGACTGAGTATGAAGATCATAGAATCCTAGGGCTGGAAGAGACTTCAGGAGGTCATCAAGTCCAGCCCCCTGCTCAAAATTGTCAGACATTATAATATTGCATAAGATCCATGATTCCCCATATCCGTAATGTCCTTTGTTAGTAAAGTAACTGCCTTTGTTTTTCATCCCCAGGTTACCTGATCATGACGGATGACTGGTTTTCTGAGTACGTGTACGAGGTGGTGGTGGATAAGAAGCATATGCCAGAAGACGTCTTAGAACTGATGCAGCAGGAACCTATTGTCTTGCCAGCATGGGACCCCTTGGGTTCACTAGCGAAGTGAACTGCAGAGCACTTGCCTCCCAGTGAGCAACCAGAAGTAGATGTAATAGAGAATCCCAGAAACCAGAAGCCATAGCCAAATGATGTGACCAAGCGCAGAGCTTGGTCCATAGTCTTTAAATGTATGCTAAGGATCTTTTCAAGAAACAACGCTTTCCTGAATGGCCGAGTGAAAAAAAAAAAGTGTCAGACTACTCTGCGCCTGCACAGAAAATTTGCCCACCTCATCATGCTACTGTATAAGTGCTTTCAATGACAGTTGGATTTTATCTCTTTAATAATGAACATAACCCTGTAAAATTGTTTTGACCAGTGCTTTCCATAGGAAAGATGATTGTAGATGGCCATATTTTAGGATAATTAGCTGACTGATATCAATTAGAAAAGTACAGCAAAATGTACATTAGTCATTCCTGGTTTTACTTGTACTGTAAAAGTATCCAGAGTCATTAGTTACTTAGAGTGTTTCAAGAGAGCTGTTTACATTTACTAGGGGGTTCATCTTCAGGGGGTAGGTGTGCAGACATGGTTTAATTTTCTTAAGAATAATGTATCCAAAACTGATTCCCATTCCAGCAGCATTGAGCTTTTTCCTGAATGTACTTAGTCTGACTTGCTTTCTGCTTTGCCCTATCAACGTATGACCAACTGATTCTCATCTGTACCCACACGAATGTTGTTTTTCAATAATATTAGCAGGAACTACCAGCAATTAGTTCAAAGGCAGAGTTAGAGAATATGGTGCCAGTTTTTATTTACTGCACTTTATTTGGACATCTTCAACTAAATACTGCTAGGAAACTTTTAATTAAAACCCTTTCTGGTGTTAAAGGTACAGCGCTGTTTCCCTCTCCTCTCCTCCCCCAAATTGGCCACATGCATCTTCACCGCATTGGAAAGATGTTAGTGACCCACAGAACACTTGCAGGTCAACAAGGCATGTTACATGCTCTTCTTAGTAGTAGAAGTCACGAGTTCTTCCACAGAGGAAGACATTCACACTACAGGAGCTCAAGAATCGAGGTAATGAGCACAGTGTAAATGCTAGAAGCCAAACCAAGCCAAGCTGTTAAGCCGCTTAACATGACCTCTTTGACTGTGATTTGTGCTGTTCTGCACTGAATCTTCACTCATTGGGCAGGGGTAGGACAAAGAAGAAAATACTGACTGAAAAGAATAATCCACTGACCTACTGTAGATAAAACAGTGCTGGCCTTAAGCACAAGCAAGGAATGGGAAGGTTGGGGTTCCAAATTCAGCTTCTATTATTGGCATATGTGCATGAAAATGTATTTTCACCTCTAATAAAGTTCATTAAAAATTCATGGTGTAAAGAACTGCAAGACTTGACTGCAAATAGACTTGCTCATAGCTTTTCCTTCTGATAGTACTACCGGGCAATGTGTTTTTTCTCAAATTTTTATTGGTGACTATTTCAAACACACAATGCTTAGATTTCCTCCAAGGTAACCGCTTTGTTTCCAGTTGCATTAAAAGCTAAAAATACAGTCCTTTCTTACCGTCATTTTTCAACCGCAGGAATTGCCACAGATGTTTGACAGCTAACGGGAGCTAAGATGGCCTATGAAAAGAGAAGCAAGAGGGGTGTGTCTGAGCCTTCATGTCATTAAGACGGGATCCAGACGAAGTGCTGGAGAACCCTGCTAAGAAAGGCACTGAAATAACTTACCTTGCACATCATACCAATGAGCTCCATTAGTGATGCCACCCTGGAATGTCTCCAACTGCTCCCCCGGGCACCGTGGGGTGCCAGTTTTCATTATCGCATGGTTCAAAGCATATTTTTTTGCCAGGTATTTAAATACTTCATCAGCTGATGTGTTATAGATTCCATTGGCTCACACATGAGGGAGTCATCATAGGAACAGTTTGCAACCACTCGTGGAGCACAAATGTGATTTTTTTGGGGATGGGCGGAGTTTATCGGAACCAGACAGAGCACATGAGGGCAAGAACTACCAACATCTGCCACCCTGATTAATATATAGCTCTGTGTAATGGTCTGCAGGCAGCGGGCGACAACGCCACTTCCCCACAACCCGTCAAATCAGTACAGTTACAGGGCCAGGCCCTGGGGTCAGGGCAGGCTGAATAATAATCAGTCTATATGCGTGGGCCCCGGTTCAGGGCAGGCATAAGGCAAGCAGTCTACAAATTTGAGGCCGGGTCTCCTAGCTGGTGGAGAGCCAATAAGCACAGGAGGTTGCTCCCTTGGGGGGGGGGGCGGCAAGGGGGAATAGGCCCACCCATTCCATTGTGTCCCAGCCCAAGGCCCTAGCAAGGGCAGCACTAGCTGACGTCAGGTCGGCAGGGCTCTTGGCTGCAACACACTGGCCTAGTCAGGGGTTAGCGGGTGTCCGGGCCACAACCCACCACCCAGCTGACTTCCATCTCCTCGGCAGGCCCTCCCCTAGGCTACCGAGGGTCCTACCTGGCTCCAGCCCGGTTCGGCAGGCTTGGAGGGGATCGAAGGAGTCGACAGGGTGTCCATAGCCTCCTCTGAGGTTGAAGGTAGCAGAGTTCGAGGGGGCCTGGTCCACTGGTGAGGGTCTGGTCTGGGTCCCAGAGAACCAGAGGAAGTGTCAGGCTGTAGCGGGGCTCTCGGTAGCCTCCCCAGATCACGGTGTTCACTCAGGGGCTCGCCGCAGCTGCTGAGCCTTTGGCCAAGCCTCCTGCCTGCTCAGCTGCTGGGCTCCAATTGAGTGGGGCCTTCCTTCTTATACTTCTGGTACCGCCCTTCTGTTTCCTGGGGGCGGGGCAAGGGTGCTCTGGCACCGCCCACCAAGGTGAACTTTCCCTTCCAGGTCATCCAGAGTTCATACTACTTCTAGCCAAAGTAATTCAGTTTCAATTTTCTGAAAGTCACCAAGCTTTTGAAGCTTCATGGCATTTTGGGTCAGTGAGCAAACTGCCCTGTATCCAATTAACAATGCATAATGAAGTCTCATTGGAGCTTTCCTAATTGCATCAAGGCCATGTTATATCTGAGACACATACACAGCCTACACTGGATAGGCTCCAACAGTATTACTGCCAGCTACTGTCAGACAGGGTACTGAACAAATTGGGTTTCAGGTCCAATCTAGCTTGGCAATTCCCATCTCTTTAAGGCTTTGGTTCATATTAACAAATACTCTTGGGAGCTAAGGTATCCAAGCCTCTTTAAGTCAGGGTAGAAGTCATGTTCACAAAGGCCCAGTTTTCTTGAAACACTCTATTTGGTTTTACAGAAATTACTGGGGGTGGGGCAATGTCAGAGGGTACACCCCTGATGGGGGCTGCTGACCCCCTTATACTGACCCACGTCTCAGTCCGGGCCTATACCGCACCCCAAAGTCCCCAAAAGTCCAGGCCCCTCTATCAGGGGATATACGGTATCAAAGGCCTAGTCCCTCTGAGGCACCTCTCCTGGCCCCAAGCCTGGTTATCCGGGGGGGGCCTGCGTGGTGGGGGGACCCGGGCCCTCCCTCTCCACCGGGTCCCAGCCCAGGGCCCTTCAGGCAGGGTCTGTGGCTCCTGCCGGCTCGGCGGGGAATCCGGCTGCTACACGCCGAGCCCAACTTTGTGTCCCCTGCCCTGGGCTGCTTCCTACCGCGCCCCGGTTCCCCGGGGGCCCATTGGCCTCTGAGGCAGGACCTGCTGGGGTTGTGGGTACGTTCCAGTTGCCCAGAGTCGGGGTCCGCTTCCTTGGTGTCAGGGTCCAGCACTGGCAGTGGCTCTGGTCCCAGCGACTGCAAAAACACTGGCCTGGTCTCCTCCCTCCCCCAGCTGTCCTCCTGCCTGCTGGGCTCCCTCTGCCTTTATACCTGGCCTCTGCTGGGAGCATGCCCAGCAGGGCCGGAAGGGCGGGGCCCTCTCCGCCAGCTGGGCCTGGGCTACTCCCGGCCCTGCAGTGCGGGGCCTGTTCGCCCTGTCACAGGCAGGAAGATAACATTCACCTGAAAAGGAGTTTCTTTACTCCTACCTTGTGGTTTGTCTTACAAGCTGCTTCTTTTGAGCTTCAGCTCAGTCACAAAACTGCAGTCTGCTGCTAGAATGGCAGATGAGGCAAAATTCACAAAAGTACTTCAATGTAACACACACATTGATAGTCTCAAGAAGCTCAAAGAAAAGGCTTCTCTCCTCAACTGCCTAGAAATTGATGCATCACCATGGCAGACACTATCTTTATAGCTTGTAAAAAGGAGGCATGATTAGACCGTCGTGCATCCTGCTTGGATAGGAACTTTGGGCATGTCCACTTCTACTGAAACAACTTTAGCACCTTATGTTCAGCAGCTGGCATCCCTGTAGAAATATTCTGAATGGCAGCTGAACAGGATGGCATCCAAGACGACAAAAGAATGTTGCAAGAACTAAATCTCAGGATTCCATTCCCCTTAAACTGAACTGAAACTCAACTGAACATTTAACATCTAGTGTCGCAGGAGAGAGAGAGAGAACACATTTCTTGTTTCTCTCAGACACAAAAATAATAAATGTTAAATTTTGATTAATTAACTAATCGACTAGTCGGTGGGATTTCTGTTGACTATTTGGTTAGTTGGTAAGGACTAGTGCAGCGTTCCAACTTTGAAATGTACAAGAGTCACTGCTGGGGCTCTTGTACGTTTCAAAGAGGAAGCGCTGTATGGAGCCTAGGGCTATCCTGAGACTCAGCGTCCCCCGCTGGCCCCAGGCTCCATGTGGCACTTCCGCTTTGAAATGTATAAGGCGCCTCAGTGGGGATTCTTGTACATTTCAAAGTTGGAATGCTGCCACTACACTCCCGGCCCCTTTCACAGACCTGGGAGGAACTGGCCTTTAAGCTGGCTCCCCCCAGAATTCCCCCTCCCATTCCCTCCCTTGCTGCCTCTTTGTGATAGTGGCAGCAAAGAGGGGGGGAAGGGTGACTAGTCGACTAGAGCGTCGAGTATCCAATAAGCTTATCGGACAGTCGACTAGTGCTTACATCCCTAACAAAAATGCAGTCAAGCAAACCATCCCAGCCAACTGCGGTTTAGTCCTCCACATAGACAGAAGATGACGGACTCTGCTTTTTTGTAAGCTTTGAAGAATGTTTGAGTTGAGACGCATTGCAGGGTTTACTGGCAGGATTAAGAGGCTTATGTTGCAGGAAGGAGCGATGAGGAAAATATTCTGAGTCTCAAATTCTGAGTCAAGTCAGAAGACAAGAGTACAGCAGGCCCACTCCCGCTGTTCCTTAGAGGTCTGCTGAACATGTTGGCACACAATAAGTTGGGGTCAGTTGCTAGCTGTCCCAGCAGGTACCGCACAAAGGGACCCAGCTGGGCGCTGGTACAATGCAGACCCAGGAGGGTTAAGGATAAGGAAAAAGCATTGAAGAGTCTCGAGCCCAACATCAACCTCCCTCCCCACAGTCGCCCCCCTGCTGCCCCTCCCAAGCCCAGAGCGGATCTACGGGCTTGGGGACCCTCCCCCTCGGGGCCAGACCCCCCCCCTCAGCCACACCTTGATCTCCTGTGCGGACAAAGCAACTGCCGCCTCCCCCCACCAAAGGACCCGGCCCCCCTCTCCCCACAGAGGTGCCCCTCCTCCCGGCTCACTTGTTGCGCCGCACCCCGGCGATCAGGGCCCACACCTCAGGCATGGGCTCCAGGACAAACTGAGCCACCCCGAACTGGTCGGGGGAGCTGCGGTTCGGGTCCTACCCGCGCCCACCCGAAGCTGTCGGGGTCGAGGCTGGGCAGCAGGCAGAGCTTGGGGAAGCTGCAGGAGACGCCGAGCTGGGTGTGGGGCTCCACAACCCACCGGTGACCCTGGTGCGCGGGGAGGGGCGAGGACAGCAGAAGAAGCGACCAATGGAAGAACAGGTGTCTTCGAGGAGCTGGCCAATGGAAGGGCAGGAGCATTTGAGGACGCTACCAAATGGGAAAGCAGGAGCAGTGGAGGAGTCGACAAATGGGAAGTCAGTGTTGTCTGAGGAGGCGACCAGTACAAAAGCAGGTTCAGTTCTGGGAGTAACCTATAGGAAAGCAGGAACAACAGAAGAGCTGACCAATGGGAAGTCAGGGGCGTCTGAGAGGGCGACCAATGAAACGACAGGGTGGAGATGCAGGTGATGGGGGCCAATGAGGATGGAGAGAACGAGAGAGGGGGGGAAGGAACCAATGGGGAAAGGAAGGGACGGGGAGAGGCAGAACGAACGGGGTGGGAACTGGCCAAAGGGAGTGGAGAGGACGGAGAGGGGGGCGGGACCAATGGAGCAGCCTGGAGGGTGTTTCCCAAATGCAGTGTCGGAAACGTCACCAGGAAGGCGTGGCCAACCTTAAAGGGGCTGCGTGCGCCAAGCAGCGCCAGCTACGCTCCTGTGGGAGAATGCGGCTCCGCAAGGCACCTGGGGCCACACTCCTTTGGGGACGGGCTCCAGCTGCAGGCCAGTCTTCCGGAGGCGATCGGGGACTCCAGAGTCTGATCTCCTCGGGCAGTATTGCAGGTTGCCAGGTGTTCACTATTGACCCGCACAGTCCGGTATTTTCGCTTCCTGTCCCGTAAAAAATTTCAGAAAATTCCAGATACCTAAAACGTCCCGTACTTTCTGATTTTTTCCCCGCCAGGAGGCAAAAATCCCGGGTGCTTACCTGGTTCCGCAGGGGAGCTGTCTGGCCCGGAGCAGGAAGCCAAGATGGCCAGTAGCCTGTTAGGGCCAAAAAGCCTCAAAGGCATTTCTTAAAGGGGCCATGCTGTTTTATTATTATTATTTAATAACTCTCAGGATCTTTTTTTTTTTTGGCTGAACAGAATTTTTTCCCCGGTGGTTTTTTTTGGGGGTGTGGGTTCGGTATTTTTAGTTAAACCATCTGGCAACCCTAATTGCAGGGTTTTGAGAAAGCCCTTTCCCCACCTGCAGTACTCCTCCAATCACACAGCTCTGTGCCCCCCAAACCTGCCAGCTCCCCTATCCCACACACACAGAGTCCTCACCCCAAGCAGGGGGGAGGGCCAGAGGCTCCACAAAACCCATTTTGCACTTGCTAGTGTTTGCGTGCTCAAGACACTACTACAGGGAAAGGTGGCCATACAAAAATCAGAAGACAGATGCGTATTTCTTCCTTGAAGGATCATCCCATCTATGGAGCTGCACTAATTAGAATAATAAATTACACTTCTAACTCTCCCACAATGTGGCAACCGATGTGGCTCTTTGTTTATAGATGAGAGTTTCGAGGTCAGAGATGTCATTCTTGATCCTCTCCTGTTTCTTGTACAGGATACCGATCAGGTGGTTCCTTAATTTCTTAGATAGTGTATGGCACAGTCTCTCTATAATCAGTACAGTCTGTTGATCATAATGGGTTGTTCACTTTCAGTCCTTTGGGTACAATGTTCATCTTTTTGCATGTGGATAGAAAGAGGATGTCTGCCTGGATTTTTCCCCTTTTTTTCATATGGTTGATGGATTTCCATTCCAAACGGCGAAATGTAGTGTCTTGCATAATGAAAGTAACCTCTCTGTCACTTCTAACACTGTGATTGCCTGTGCAAGTCAGCTGGTTGGAGGTGTAAGAACTCTGAGCTACACCTGGCAGGTTCACAGCACTGAGCTGTGTTCACACCACCGCCCCGGTTCAGTTTATGCAGACAGAATTCAAACTACGTTTGCAAGGAAGAAGGCCGAGTCTTAGCTCTTTCGAAAATGATCCATGAAAGTAGGTCTAGGAAGCTTTGCCCAAAGACATTCAGAGCCATTTAAGTGTGAGCAAATTCTGTGAATTGTCTTTTACTGAAAGTAATAAATAGCGCAGGAAATATGTCCCGTTCAAAGAAGGGACCCTTGAAATATGACAATGTATGACCAGATATTTTTATATTATCCTAATATAAAACATATAGCCAGAAGAAAGGATTTGTAAGTTTTACTTTGCACAAAGACATAATTTTTCGTCTGTAAAAAAAAAAAAGTTCCATGATCAACGGTTTTCAGGCCTACTTTCCAGTAAAATCATAAAAGTCCTTAAAAGCCCACAGTAACTCATAAGAGACCTTATAATTAGGCTCAAAGATTAACTCTGTGAAATACTGACAAAGGCATTGTCTGATTTCTGCTGATTACAGTTAGGATTGAATAAGACGTAAAGCAGTAGAACTGAAACTAGGTGGAATTAAAGAGGGAGCATTTGGTTAACTTCAGCCTCGTATTCCAGGCTGGGAAAATGCAGCTGATGTGTCTGTCCCTACCAGACAGGCAAAGTTCATGCCAGAGATATCTGTATAGGAGAAGTGGCCTTGAGCAGAGTTAGTCAGTGCCTGTCAGTAAAAGCAACCAATAGAAAACAGGAACGTACAGGCCTGGCCACAGGGAGACAGCAGAAATAGGAGGAAGTGTGGGGCTTTCCTGCCTTCACAAACAGCTGGCTTGACCTTACCAAAGCCTGGAAGATTATACTTCTCCTGTGTTTGGCGGCTTAAGAAAATGCACCGGTGCTGCTTGACTTAGGTGGTACAACCTCCCAGGTCAGTTCATCAGGGACAGGAACATTCTCATGGTTCATTTATGCTGCCGTAGAACCTGGTGTATTGGGGATTGTTACGAACGGGTGTTTCAAAAGAGATACAAAGGTATTTACAAATTGACATGAAGACGGATCTTTTGTATATCATTCATCCTAACCACTGATAACTCTCTTTTCAAGGCAAGGGAAAGCCAACATGGTTTCTGCAAAGGGAAATCATGCCTTACTAATCTGCTAGAGTTCTTCGAGGGGGTCAACAAACATATGGACAAGCTGGATCCAGTGGATATTCTTAGATTTCCAGACAGCCTTTGACAAGGTCCCTCACCAAAGGCTCTTAAGTAAAGTAAATTGTCATGGGATAAGAGGGAAGGTCCTTTTGTGGATTGATAACTGGTTAGCAGACAGGAAACAAAGAGTAGGAATAAATGGTAAGTTTTCCGAGTGGAGAGAGGTAACTAGTGGGGTCGCCCAAGGGTCTGTCCTGGAACCCATCCTATTCAACTTATTTATAAATGATCTAGAGAAAGGGGTAAACAGTGAGGTAGCAAAATTTGCAGATGATACCAAACTGCTCAAGGTAGTTAAGACCAAAGCAGACTGTGAAGAGTTTCAAAAAGATCTCACCAAACTAAGTGATTGAGCAACAAAATGTCAAATGAAATTTAATGTGGATAAATGTAAAGTTGGAAAAAATAATCCCAACTATACGTATAATATGATGGGGACTAATTTGGCCACAACTACTCAAGAGAAAGATCTTGGAGTCATTGTGGATAGTTCTCTGAAAACATCCACTCAGTGTGCAGCGGCTGTCAAAAAAGCAAATAGAATGTTAGGAGTTATTAAAAAAGGGTTAGAGAATAAGACAGAAAATATCTTGTTGCCTCTGTATAAAACCATGGGATGCCCACATCTTGAATACTGCTACAGATGTGGTCACCTCATCTCAATAAATATATATTATTGGCATTGGAAAAGGTTCAGAAAAGGGCAACAAAAATGATGAGGGGTTTGGAACAGGTCCCATATGAAGAGAGATTAAAAAGACTTGGACTTTTCAGCTTAGAAAAGAGGCGATTGAGGGGGGATTTGATAGAGGTCTATAAAATCATGAGTGGTGTGGAAAAAGCAAATAAGAAAAAGTTACTTACTTATTCCCACAATAAAAGAAGTAGGGGTCACCAAATGAAATGAATAGGCAGCAGGGTTAAAACAAACAAAAGGAAGTTTTTCTTCACTCAGGGTATGTCTACACTACCCCGCTAGTTCGAACTAGCGGGGTAGTGTAGACATACCTTTAAATCCCAGCTGGTTCGAACCCCATGCGGCGCGGCTACACGCGGCACGAACTAGGTAGTTCGAACTAGGCTTCCTAGTTCGAACAACCGTTACTCCTCATGGAATGAGGAGTAATGGTAGTTCGAACTAGGAAGCCTAGTTAGAACTACCTAGTTCGTGCCGTGTGTAGCCACACGGCATGGGGTTTGAACGAGCGGGGATTTAAAAATGGCGGCGCCCTGCTTATGCAAATGAAGCCCGGGAAATTCAAATCCCGGGCTTCATTTGCAATTGTGGTATGCCTACATTACCCCGCTAGTTTGAACTAGCGGAGTAGTGTAGACATACCCTCAGTGCACAGTCAACTTGTGGAACTCCTTGCCAGAGGAGGCTAGATCATTAACAGGGTTCAAAAAAGAGCTAGATCGAATCATAGAGGTTAGGTCCATCAATGGCTATTAGCCAGGATGGGTAGGAGGAATGGTATCCCTGGCCTCTGTTTCTCTGGAGGTAGGTGACAGGGGAGGGATCACGTGAGGATTACCTGTTACGATCCCTCTCTCTGGGGCATCTGGTATTAGCTGCTGTCGGCAGACAGGATACTGGGCTAGATGGACCTTTGGTCTGATCCCGTCTGGCCGTTTTTATGTTGTTATGTAGGTGAAAAAATCTAATATATAAAGGAGAATGTTTGTGCTCTAATAACTTGGACACTATAAGACCTACCACAACCAAACTTTCCATGGGATAACCCTTCCTCTAGGAGAAGGTTTTAAGGTAGTTTTGGACCCGATCGGGCCCGATCTCAACCTGTAAAAATCAAAAATAACCTGCCCCACTGCGCTGCAGGGGCAGCCCCGCCCACCCTAGGTCAAGTGCCTGCCACCTGTGGCCCCAAAGCACCATCCAGGACTCACCCCACCCCCATGAGCATAACAGCTTGGGCATCCACCCTGCCCCCCCACAGCTACGGTTACCAGGTAGTCTAACACC